TTTAGGAGTCAAAAGTAACTTGGGCCGGGGGTCATACAAGAATTCCATAATGCTGTTGGCGATGGAATCGATGGATTGTGAGCCACTAGCAAAACTTGATTGGCCTGTGGAAAAGGTGGATAGCTTGACGGTGAGGGTTTCCATCAGCGTCAGCTGCTGTTGCGACATCAGCCTGAAGTCCGCGCACGATTCCTCCATCGTAGAGTGAAAAACTGCGTCGCCAAATGTTACGACCCGCACCTGGTACTTCTGACCAGCATGAAGCGGTTCCCCAAGAGTCCGTAGGAGCGAGACAAAGAGAAGACCAGTCGGGCAGCGAGAGAGAGAGAGTTTACTCAGGCAGAGCACGTTACAGTACGTCAGTGCAAGTCAGCGGAATTCAAGTCAGACATAGGTTGCATGTACTTTAAAGGGGACGCGAGAGACATCGTCCGACAATGGGCCAATCAGGATTAAGCAGACGAGACTGGCTCACGACAAGCGGCTCTTGCGACGCCGCTTAGTCCGTTGGCTCATCGTGGGAATCGCCGCATTTCCAACAAAAGAATCGGGCCTAAAGGTCGCAGTTACTAGGATTAAACTTAATTAACCCCTGCGATATTGATGACTTCACTTGGGATGGCGTAGTAACGTGCAATCGAATTACTCAGGTCAACTTCTGAATAAGCATGTATTTCTGCTTTAAAAGATGGGGGCCTCAAATTGACTATTGGCACCAACTGAATTACGAACGCAAAAAGTTTTTCAAGTCTTGATAGTGAGTGGAGCCCTATAAGCTCTCTTTGAATCATGCCTTGTTCGTGCAGGGAAGTGACTCGATATATCCACCAATCCGAAACTCGTTACATTAGCTAAAATGGATATGATTCATTTCCACAATCAAAGCTTTTTGACAGTTACGAATATTCAGTAGAGTAAAAACCGTCCCCATCAAACGGACAGCAAAAGGGAGGAGAATAGGTCTCCGAAAGGCAGACTGGTTAAACTTATCCCCCTGTTCCATAAAAGTAATTTGGCTTGCAGCCAATGGAAAGTTCTAGGCAGGTGAAGATTTCCGGCAAAAACTAGGGAGACTGGAAGGTCATTTCTGCCTTAGAAGTCGTCATCAGTCAGAAATGCCCAACCCCAAGTGTCGCATCCGCGACCCCTTTGATTGCAAGTCTAGTTTACAACAAATGGGGCATTAGAGGCAGATTAACATTGCCGAAAAAAAGAAACATGGGAGGCTTGGCGGGTCACTTCTGGCTTACTGTTCGCCATTAGCCAGAAATACGTCATTTTACCGTGTGCACCACAGCAGGATGTTGCAGGAACGGTAAACTGCGGAGCAACCTCTTTATTAGAAGTCCAACGCACTAAACACCGAGTCACGGGCTCGTTGTCTTGTCAATCCCGTAACCGACCAATGAACGTCCAGCCGCCAATGCTAATAGCACTAATAGAAGCGAAATGTCCCAAGTGAGAATCCGAAACGTCAAGTCAAATCAGTTTTATTAAAGGAAATATAGGCAAACGCCTTTGAACTCCCTATTGGTACATAG